TCCTGAGCTAAAAGCTAAAAGTTCACCATGCTTTTAGCGCTAAGAAAGAAAACATTGTGGTCAATAAATTACTGGATGGGCATTGATAACCTTGAGTAAAAGTTTAAGAGTCCTTCTGGCGCCAACTAACAGACTAAATGTCCTGTTTCTTTGTACCCTAAATCTTTGTATGTGACTGCCGTATCCCACATGACTGCTGGTTCTTGGGATGTATAAAAGCCATCTGAATTTTAAAATAAATTGGCTTGTTGGAAAGACACAGGTCCCAGGATCTAAGACAGCTGTTTGTTAATTAAGTACCCATAGTTATAAATAAAATTCCTCAAAATGTGAAGGCATGATCTTATTCCTCCAACTGATATGTGTTGACAGAAGAATAAGCCTCAGGACTGTCTGTCCATACATGTGTATTGCACACATATTTCTATTTCTGGTTATATACAAGAATACATTAGGTCACAAGTCAAAGTTATTAACTAAAATGCTAAAAATGAAATCAGGAACAGGATTCTGCTACTAGAGCCCCACAGATTCAAGTTTCTACTGTATTATATGCAAAAATATTTTATTACAACTAGAGCATATTCCTCTATAAATTTTTCCATTATTCAATTTACTCTAAAACACATATATAAGAATATATCTTAAAAATTGTAGAAATATGTTATTCAACTTTCTCATTGGACGATTATGTCTCAGAAGAGTTCAAGTCAGACCCATCTTCTGAACTTCCTACTTAAGGCACCCCTCACGTCCTTGTTTCTCAAGGTGTAGATAAGTGGGTTGAGAACAGGAGTGACCGCACTGTACATGATGGCAATGATCCTATCCTGGTCCAGGGAGCTTGCTGAAGGAGGACAGATGTAGATGAAGAGAACAGGAGTGTATAAAAGAATAACAACCATAAAGTGAGAGGCACAGGTGGACAGTGCTTTGTGGAGCATGCTGCAAGAATGGGTCTTGAGGAAGAGATAGGTGATGACATAGAAATAGGATAGAAAAATCTGAAGGAAAGTACTGATTGTGATGGTCCCTGTGACTGAATTGAGCTGCCATAAGTTGACCTCAGTGTTCCCACAGGTCAACTCCAGCAATGGCTTCGCATCACAGAAGAAGTGATGGATATGGCCAGGCCCACAGAAGTTCAAACGCGACGTCATTACAGAGTGAAGAAGGGCATGGAAGAAGCCAATGGTCCAGATGGCAATGGCCATCAGGATACAGACCTGATGACTCATGATGACAGGGTAGTGGAGTGGTTTGCAGATAGCCACAAAGCAGTCAAACACCATCACCGCCAGCAGCAGGGCCTCTGTGCTACCCAGGAAGTGGAAGAAATGAAGCAGAGTTATGCATCCCAAAAAGGAAATTGCTTTGCTTGTGGAGAGCAAGTTCTCCAACATCTTTGGCACAGTCATGGTGGAGAAGCAGATGTCTAGACACGCCAGGTTTCCCAGGAAGAAATACATAGGTGAGTGGAGTCTCGGACCTGAGATGACGACCATCAGGATGGCTCCATTCCCAACCACACTGACAAGGTAGATGGTGAGGAACACGAAAAAGAGAAGAGGGTTCAATTCCCATGAGTCTGTCACTCCCAGGAGGAGAAATTCAGTGACTGAGGTTTGATTAGACAAACTTAAACTTAAAGAAAAAGACAGTAATTTCAGAACAGTAACTCATGTTGATCATTCTTTCTGGCCATGAATTCTAGCCCAGACTAAAATATATGACAGTATTTTTTCCATAAGCCATCTCAACTTTGTTCTAGTATTTGCCCATTATTGCATTAATCAAGAAGCTTAAGTATTTATTCTGGATAGTGATCAAGCATCTTTTAATTTATTACATTATCCTTAACTTTCTTTTAAGGATTCTGATCTGGTCACCAGTCTACCATATTCTCTACACTTTCATCAAACCCTATTTTCATCTTAACTGTAATGGAGGACAGCTTTTAAAA